TAAATTTTTCTTGTCCTAGAAATTCTACCCAAACGGATTCCGTGTCTAATCCTTTGATCTTGATGCATGTTTTTAAGCAACAGTTCATGTTTTCTCAGACTATAGCTCTATTCCCTTTCTCATTATTTCTATCAACATGGAACAACTGGATTATGGGGATCAAGTGTGTTCATCTGCTTACATCTCCAAACTTGATATTGTCCATTGTCAAAGACTGTGTCTGTGCCTTGATGCCTTTTGCTTTTTTCACCAAAAGCCAATATGTAGTCTATTCCTTCATTGCAAGACAATAGAGATACTGTCTGTTCTGTTTGGTTTGCATTTAACCTTTTGACTCTCGCAACCCCAATTCTGAAACTGTCTCCCTGTGTCGCAAAAATATTTGAAAAACAAAAAAAAAAATTATCTTTTCTTATGAAATGATAGAGAATCTTTTCCCGATGGTAATGACTCCAAAAGTACAAAATTTGATGGAAAACTTACGGAATTAAGCTTTCGCAAAGTTAGCGATTTATACGCATTGGCGATTTCGCCCACTTTGAGCCCTAATTTTGGCCAATTCCATTGTTCCAGTCGACCAAATTCATAGCTATTTCTTTAGAACTCCATTTTTTTCTATTGACTGAGTACAAGAAACTGCCTATTTACCAATTTCAACTACCCAATAAAATGGTCAGAAATTGGCAATTTGGCCAATTTCACGCAAATTAAAAAAGATGCCAATTTCAAAATAGGGTTCAGAATAAACATTGCAGACATTTCTGGCACCAAAATAACATTTTCTCTGTTCATTAGTCATGTCTCCAGGCCCCTCTTATATTACCCTTGCTTTCTATTTTGAATTTTTATTCACACAAAAAATAGAAGATTTACTGTTATGCAGACTACTGCATTATTGTAAAAATAGTATAAATAATATCAGTGCACTTGTGAAAGAATATTAGGCTCACCAATTGATGTGTATTGGATGCATGGAGTGATTTGTTTACTCTGCTACTTTGAGCTCAATTTCAATGTCCTTTTCATCGTGAAACTAATCAAAATCATCTCTGTTTCTGTAATATGTCTTCCATTCTATCAAATGAAACCAAGACAACGAGAATACAACCATAAATACTATATGAAAATATGTATACCTCAAAGTTGGCATTTTAATCCAAAAACACGGTCGGAGTTTTTTTTTTCTCATTATGCACTGCGTGCTGCAGGATTTTTTTTATACTGCACACACTGACCACACAGACCCATTCTCTGACATGTGGGCCTACCAGCTTTCGCCCGCTTGATTTGAAGCCGCTAGAATTTAGGCATATTTATACGTCAGAAACACTGGTTCGTAAGATGTATATATACGGCCGAAACAATGAAAGGGTTAAAACCCTGTGACCCATAGAACAATCAGATATTAGTAAAGATGAAGCTTTCAGCTGTTATCCTTTATCATGCCCTTAAACCCGTGCCTTCAAGTCATTTCTCTCATTCTACAGTGGTCCCTCGATAATCGTAAGGCTCGATAGTCGTAATTTTCGAAAATCATAACGTTATTTTCGTCAAAACATTGGCTCGCAATCGTCGTTTGACTCGCAAATAGTCATTCGTCTGGGACGCGTACACACAGCCCCGAGCTGCCTCACACTCCATTCCCAGCCAGTGTGCCATTGTTTATCAGTGAGGATGATCCCACGAGTTCATACCATACATTTCATAATATTCCATTCGTTTTAGTGCTTGCAAATGCTAAATAAGTCACCATGGCTCCAAAGAAAGCTTCTAGTGCCAGTCCTTCAGTAAAGAATGTGAGAAACACATATAATTTAAGAAAAAGTTTGTAGAAAAACACAGAGGTGGTGGTGGTAGATTGGAAGCAGTTGTGATAATGGTAGAGGGTGCTAGCAGTTGTGATAGTGGTAGTGATGGTGGTAGAGGGTGCTAGCAATTGTGATAGTGGTAGATGGTGGTAGAAGGTGGTAGTGATGGTGGTAGAGGGTGCTAGCAGTTGTGATAGTGATAGAGGGTGGTAGTGATGGTGGTAGAGGGTGCTAGCAGTTGTGATAGTGGTAGACAGTGGTAGTGATGGTGGTAGAAGGTGCAAGTGATGGTGGTAGCAGTTGTGATAGTGGTAGAAGGTGGTAGTGATGGTGGTAGAGGGTGCCTTCTTCAGTGATTCAACCAACTCATCCAATTTTGTTGGAGTTATACAGGGCTACAGAAAACACCGCCGCCTCAGCTGGTGCTTCACCACCATTATGGACAGCTTACTCTCAGTGGCTCTTATACAGCCAACAACACAACACCTCTCATGACATACATAATCGACTTATTTTATTCATTCTAGAGTATATTCCATGTTTTTATGTTATTAATATTGTTTATGTCATATTAGTTGAATTGTGATAGATAAATAAGCCGTAGAGTTGATATTAGTGTCATATTCTCCAACAATAAACTCGCCTCCCCTCCCTCTGCCATACACCAACAAAAGTCTTCAATAAAAGGTAAGTGTGATGTTAAATGTTCATTTATACATTTTATTAGTGCTTTACATTTATTTGGCATTCTTTTCTGCATGTAAATCTGTATTTAAGCAAGGGAAGTGACCCCTGAAGTGACCTAGAGTCCTTATGGAGGGGGATTCCCCTTCCAAACAATAACCTCTCTTTCCTCTCTCCTCCTCCCTGTCTTCCATTCATCAACAACAGCCTTCAATAAAGGTAACTGTCATGTTGAATGTTCATTCTTTTGTGCATGTAAATCTATCTTTAAGGTAAAAAAAAATTGTTGTTGATACTTCTGGGTGTCTGGAACGAATTAATTGGATTTACGTTATTTCTTATGGGGAAAATGGATTCGAAAATTGTCAATTTCGATAATAATCACACTTCCAGGAACAGATTAATTACGATAAATGAGGGACCACTGTACTTCCCTTTTCTGTGTATCCTTCTAATTTTTCTATTTCCACATGGAAGTTACAGATGATGTGAGTACATCTCTCCTTACCCTTTACTAAGTCTTTCATTACTACTATGGACATTTGCTCCCTCTCCTTTGACTATTTTCACTTGTATTTACATGCTACTTCTGTGTATACTGATAGCTCCATAGCCTCTCACGATGTGTATGCAATTGTTTTCCAGATAGTGTAACAAAATTACTTTTATTGGATTTGACTAGTATTTTCACAGCAGAATTCTATGTATTTCTTGTAACCATCATCCACATTACTTCTTTTCACACTTTCATTGTAATATCTGACTCTCAGAAGTGCATTGCAACCTCTTCAAAGCTTTGATTTTGGATCCCCTTGTCTTTTTGATTTAAATAGGCTGTATTCTCTTCAACAAGCATAAAGACGTTACCTTTTGTTGGGTCCGTGGTCATTCTGATACAGGTAATGAATCTGCACATTTCTGTAGCCCAGGATCTGCCCATCTCTTGCAGATAATATACTCTGTTTAGGCTATTATTCAGTTTTGTGAAAGAGCATTCAGGATTGATAGCTACATTGTTGGTCGAGGTTAGAGGACAGTTGTTCTTAATTAAACCTCAGTTGACCTCTTGGTCAAATTTCCATAATTGTCACATTTGAGAGACAGTTCTCATTTGACTATGTATTGGCTGTCACATGGGAAGGTGCCCAGCATCTCTCTACAATTTTTCAGGTTTAGTTGACTGTAGAACACACTTCTGCTTAATTGTACCATTTACCAAAGAGCGCGTAAATTCATTTTTTAAATTTTTTCTATGCCTGGGTCCTTTCACTTTATCTTCTCTTCTTTTAAAAAGCCCTACTTATATGTGCACACACTAGAATGTTTTGATTGAAACTGACTTTAACTGTCTTTGTTAGCTCTCAATTTCATTTGTCATACTACTTTCCTTGTCTGATAGCTCCCCTCAACCTTGTGACCTATTTATATAATTTAATGATGGTTAACTTTATGCCATTATCAATACATATGTAGGCCAGGTGAGGTGTCAAACAACTAAAGTAACCTAACTTAAAATGAAAACAGGTCGGTTCTTAATCCTTTCAGTGGCTGTTTTGTGGAACTACGTCATTGAGGCTATGGACTCTCACGTAGTTCTACATCATGAGCTCAGCTCCCTCATAAGCTGAGTAATAAATTTTGGCCTAGATATGAAAAAATTGGGTATGTGCAGTGAGTTTGCATAGTACGTAAAAAAATCCTGCTCCTTACAGTGCATAAAAAAAAAAAGGATGGTTTAAAATAGCGACTGAGGCATTTTCTCGGATGGTTTTTATGGTGTATTGAGGTTTCATGATATTTGATAGGATGGAAGACATACTACTGAAATAGAGATGATTTTCATTGGATTCAGAACTGGTAGTAGCTTGAAATTGAGCTCTAAGTAGTTGGAATATTTTTACCAAAATTCCTGAGGGTGAATAAGGCTTCCCTACACCCTTCAGTCTGTTTTATGGGTTTGTAATAGCTCTTGATTTAATTATTGGGACACCATAAACCATAGCTAATCATTCCTAGTTATTTTTATTAATCAAGGAGTAAAGTAAATCTTCTATTTTTGACATTAATTCAAAATGGAAAGCAAGTGTAATATAGAAGAGGCCTTTGAACATGGTAAATGTTGTGTCAGGAATGTCTAGTTTATTTTGGAATATTTTTTGATTTCGTAAAATTGGCCAAATTACCGTCTTCTGTGCACTTTATAGGGTAGTTGAATGGAGCGTAGGATTCAATACACAAACCCGCACGTAGGAAAGAGTACGTGCGGTTATTTGTGTCTCATTGTTATTTATAGGATTCAGATTTGCACCTGCATAATCCCATAAGTTTTCCATTGAACTCCATACTTTTGGTGTCATTACCTTCAGAAAAAGATTCTCTACTATTTCAGATTTCGGGGGGATGAGGAAAGTGGACACAAGAGCTATATTAATTTCAGGGGCCTGGACAGCGAGAGGGTTAATGTCTTCAGCCTACTAGATTAAATTAGAAAGGCAAATAAAAAAACGGTTTATGGTACGAACATTTATATTTAATGCAGTAAACATAGTAGATGGCCTGTCCACTGTGTCTCTAGACAATTCATCACTTCATAAGAATTCCGAGCATCCATTAACCTGGTGGGGGAGCGGGGGGGAAAAAAAAAAAATGGTCCTCCTGGGTTACTTATTACAACCAGGAAATTTGATGCAGAAGAATATGGCAGTGTAAATTTGCTGAGAGTTAAGCAAAACAAATACTGCTGATGAACTGGACACACAGCAGTGATCTCCAGGCCAGACTTCTTGTATAACACGGCATGAAGACTTGCTCCAGATGAAGTTCACAGAGGCTTGCCACGCACAGAAGAGCTACTAGTCATGGCTACAAGTCTTGCAAAACGAGAACAGTCCGGTTTGTGACTTGCTCGTAAATACAAAATTACGCATATTCAAAAAATGCAAAATCCATGTAAAACTTTGCTAAAGGTCATCCTACTTATTGTCGTGTTTCCAAACCCCAAAATGTGAGATGCACAGATTGTACACAAGTTTTATCTTATATGGTCAATACTCACTTATTCGTCAAGAGATTCATTTAAGCTACTAGCTACAGAGAAACAAAAAGAGAAAAAAATAGATTCTGTACTTTGGTCAATTAGTCTATAGAAAATAAGGCTTGCATGCATTATTGTCTTCATAGCCTTGATTCTTTTTAATAAACATAAGTTCCAATAAAATTTTAGTTCTCAGTAGCTCTTGCCTAATATGGGACAGGTACAATGAACACACATTTCATACAAATTGTTCTGAATAAGATGTATCGGATGAACTTGCTCCAGTACTTTCTGCTTCTCAAGAAGTCTTGTGGTAGGTACTTGAGCAGTGTCATCTGTTACTGTGTGAAATTAATCACACTACACAATCTCCACTCACAATATAAAATGGACACAAATGAAATACTTTTCACCTTGCACAAATACAGTCATGTACTATGGAGAAATACCGAGTTGGGTCAAACACAGCAAGACAGCCATATGGTATTTACAAAAAGCAGCCACTGTGTTATACAAACACATTCCTACAGCAAGAGGAGGTCTAAGTCTAACAAACATAATCAGAAGTGCTGCTGGATAAACACATCATGGAGTGAGCCTTATATATACAAATTGGAAGTGGGGGGGGGAAAGGGGGGAGGGGAACATCTCGTGACTTTTCGTAGCTGCCGGAGACTCATTCTGAACACATGTATTTGGTGGATCTCGACCAGCTGATTTTTTTTGCCTGTTCTCAACAAATTCATTGCAGTTTTACTCTAAAAGCAAGAAAAATGTAATTTCATGCACAGGATTAATTTGAACAGCATATAATTTGCAATAGTGGAAAAAAAACCTGATCAGGACCCACGAGCAAAGGGTAGGCGAGTTCTCCATGCGACTTAGCCTATAGTACACTATTACTGCAGATAACAAAAAGCATTTGCCAGACTTAAAGCTTGGGTAAGCATCTACAGTATTTACAGCTTTGAGGCATAACTTACAACACAGAGTCTGATAGCCTTCACACGCAGTTACACTGGAAATACTGATTTGAATAACAAAGTACTGGAAATCCAATATAGCAATCTTCACATGAAAAACATTTAAATTTCCTTCATTGAAATGCAGGAAACTGCTCATTAGAAACATTTAATACAATATTTAGAAATAACACTGTCCATAGCATCATTGCTGCTTGTACTTTTGTGATTTTCCATTGAAAATGGCACATTTTGATGTGGAACAACTTGAGAATATGCTGTATATGCAAACCCTGTTTTGAATAATTTCACGGTAATATGTTTAGAGAAAACACTCTAAATAACATCTTACTCGACCATAAAAACAGAAACAATACTGTTTATATGATACTGAAGAGTGAAACTTTGTGTTCAGAGCGTTGATCAAGGGCTGGTGGGGGACTAGTAGGTGTGTGAAGCATAGGTTCCATTTCTGGGGGTGAGTTGTCAGGGACCCCTCGGGCCACTCCGTTGGTATGGATAAAGCAACTACTGATGCTGTGGACCGTCGTGGTGGGCGGCGGCCTACCCGGTAAACCTCATTCAATACGGGTCTTGTATGAATTCTTCCAGATGGCAGCCAAGACCACAGTGGAATGGAAGCGATGGAAGATAGCCAGTGGTAGTGTGCATCTCAGCAGAATTGTCCAAGGGAGGTCACCAAAGAACTCCAACTGGAATATAATACTACATGTCACTAAAGAAAATAAATTATTAAAGAACAGTAATTAACAATCCCCATTATTTTTGCTAGAGGAGTTTCTTGCCTAATATTTGTCTGTGATTGGTTTCAAAAATTTTTTCCTTGCTCACTAGATTGCAGTAAGACTCCTGACAATTGTGTTCAACAAGCACAAAGAAAGGAAAAAAAAAAAAAGAAACAGCTACCAGTAACAAAATGGAGAAAGGAAATTTCTGAAGTAGGCAATTAGGCAGCACTTCAGTTAGCTCACAACCATAAGAATTCTGGCTTGATTTTTGAGTAGGGCCAGCCATGTGGGAAAAGCACACTATATCCTAATACATGGTGCCAGTTTGTTAGCAATAAGTGGTACCTAGGAGCTAGTGGGATGTTGAAGGTTGCACTCCCAATGGAAGACTTCATTAGAAATAAACTATACTACTTGTTTGTCTTGAGTTATTATGGGATAAGTTTTTTTTTTCTACCTTACAGTAATGATGCCACAGGTGACTACCTACAGTAAATATTCAATTTTCTTCCATTCTCTCAAGTAAACACAAAGCTTGATCACTTTATCCTGGTGATGGGGTTTGAATGGCTTGCACTTGGATTGGGCTCCATTCACATGTGCATTCTACAACAATTGATAATGCCATCACATTAACAAATATACAGGGTGTCCACAAAAACACTCCCTTATTTCACGATGTTGTGAACCAATTCTCTAACAACAGTTATTTCATTTTTTCAGGTGATTAGACATCTCTGACCTGAAAACCACAGGGGTGCCAGGAAATTTAAAAATGGCCACCACCCCACAGCAACACAGCTGGTGTGTACTGGAATTTGCAAGATCAAACAGTGTTGTGGTCATGCAACGTGCTTTCAAACTAAAGTATCATACAACTCCACCTACACCCAAGTCCATTCGGAAATGGTACAACGATTTTAGTCAGAAAAGATGTATCTGTGATCAGAGAAAGGGACATTCTGGTCGACCATCAGTCATAGAGGAAGTTATTGATCAAGTTAGAAGAACATTAGTGCACAGCCCCCAACAGTCAATAAGAAGAACTAGCCAAGAATTACACCTCCCCAAAAGTATGGTTTGCAAGATCCTACACAAACACCTAAAGGGTGAGATGATCAGGTGTTCTGCGAGGTCACCAGACCTAACTGTTTGTGACTTCTTTCTTTGGGGGTAAGTGAAGAACACAGTTTACGTACCACCACTACCTGCAACCCTGGAAGAGCTCAAAATTTTGATCACTGAAGCATTCGCATGATAACTCCAGATATGCTGCAGAGCGTCTGGACTGAATTGGACTATCGCATCGATGTTTACCAAGCAACCAGAGGGGTGCACATTGAATGCCTTTAATGCTACCCTATACCACATGAAACTGAATGAAATCCTGCATCTGAAGCTACCGTGAAAGATTACAATAAAGTTGCATGTTATACCTGTTTGAAATCAGGGAGTGTTTTTGTGTACACTGTGTATATTTTATCCTCTGCAAAAAGTAAATAAAATGACTGTAACCAGCAACCTCCAAGCTCCGTACTTTTCTCCAACTATCAGAGCCACCAATGCTCCTATGATGACCTAGTTACAAGCAAAACTGCACTACCCAACATAGCACCCAGAATGACCAAAGACTACCAACAGTGAAACCTACAAATCGAAAATAATAGAGATCAAAGGAAGACTGCCCTCAAACCCAAAGCAACACCCCGCTGCCAGCCGAACAACGTAACCCTAAGCTTTGTATAACTACAACTTCTTCTTAGCTACAACAATTCCTGTAGTATGAGGCGCAATCTAAGAGGAAACAGCACCAAGGCCAGCAAGAAAACACCGAAAAATCAACTATTCAACAAGTGTAGCCAGGAGGACGCCGGCCCAGCTACCACCCCTCAACAAACATGGCTGCCACCAGCCCATCCTCCCCTCTCTTACCCAGATTCAACCTACCAAGTAGTCTCTCAGGTATGACCAACGATCCAGATACCCTAAAGTCATGCATCTCCACCTTAGTTATTGACAATATGAATCTTCAAGAGACGCTAACAAAACGAGACACCAGGATGACACAACTCGAGAACAAAATCCTCAGTCTTGAACAAAAGTTATCAACACCAGGAATGACTAACTATGGCAAGACTATCCAAACAGTCATAGATAGCCATACAGAACAAATAATATCTCTTAATACAAAGGTTGAAGAAGCAGTAAAAGAATGGAAGAACAACTTAGATAACCAGTTCAGTGACTACTTTGCTCTCCAAGAAGATAAAACTGAACAAGATAAACTATCGGATGCAGTAATAGTTAACAGTCCACTTTTTCCCAGTGATATGAACCAAACGAACAGTAAAGAAATTACTCTCCAGATCATAAAGGACCAAACAAGTGTTATTGTACCAGAGTCAGAAATAAAGGAAGCCAGGTTACTAGGATCCCATGGTAGAAAAAGTGTTATGCTTAGATTCCACTCACATAACAGGAAAAAAGACTTAATAATTGCATCTATTAAAGTAAAGAAAGAGGTATACATAAACGAGTGTCTTACCAAAAAACGCCAGAACCTCCTGTATAGAGTCAGAAAACTTAAGCGGGAGAATAATGACACAATACACCAATGCTTCACACGGGATGGGAAAATTCTAGTTAGGAAAACGAATGTAGGTCAACTGTACACAATCACGAACGAGAATGTTTCTACCACGATTTCTCAGGGATACAAAATCTTACAGAGAATAACTAAACAATGTCCAACTAAAAGCATACATAGTGTAGTGTATGTTTTGCTCCATTATTGTTCAAATTTCATAGTACAATCTCTTAGTAATTAAATAATCAACTACCTCATTTTGTGATTTTACTAGTAAGCATAAGTCACCCTATGTAATTTTCTTATTTACTATTGTTTGCTTAAATATTAGCTGAATTGATACTTTCTCTGTCCATATTACTACCTCATATTTTTTTAAATACTATTAATTGATATTACTTACTAAAATTAATAATTAATTCCCATTTTTACTATCAGTACAATTTACTCAACATTTCTGACATCATTTAATTACCATTACTTGTCTAATTACCATAACCTGCTTTAATACCACATTTACTATCTTAGAGTACTCTTAATTATCTTGTACTGCCAAATAACCTCTAGTGTAACTACCAGTGCAATATTGAATGAAATAAACATTACTTTTTCACTTTTTTGTAATCATTATTACTTACTATAATTTTATTAAACACCATATTTACTGTCAATTTTACTTTTGTACATTAATCATTATTCTATACTTTTTCATAACATTTTGTTGCCAAATTTTCAAGTTTGTATATTCAACTCCAACCTTTATATTACCTATCTACCATCTTACTATCATATTATAACAAAGTCATTGCCATTGTTATTTTTTACTTATTATTCTTTTGGTACTTTAATTTGTGAATTTTATTTTGTCAATTTAAATCTAGTTATACTCTTGATCTTGTTAACAACCTATATCAGACCCTGGTGCAATTGCAAGTACCATTTTAATTTGTATTTTTATATTATAAGTTTATATTATAAGTCCTACTCTAAGACTATTTTCATATCTTAGTGACTATATTGTGTGTGCAATTAGTGTATATTTCAATTATATTATTGTTCAAGGCCCTTAACTATCTTTTGCTAACTAGTACCAACTACCTCATATTATTTTTGTTTTTTACTTTTATAGTACAATATATTGGTCAACTTATTATATATAACAAATCAGATCTTACTCCAAAATCAATATTATATCATAGTGACTATCTGTCATTTTAACTTTGTTTACCATTACTTAATTTAGCCCCTTATATTTTTTCTCTTTTATTTTAGCTTTATATAACAACCTTAGTTCATATATTCACAATTGTTAAAATAATCAAGGTGCTAAAGTGTAATTAAGCTCATTATTTTGCCTTTTATTATTATTTTTCATTTATTTGATTCCCACTTTTTTTGTTCACGACAAATTATTTTATCCTTTTATATTGCCTCATTTATTTTGCTTTAAAGAGCTACCTTAGTCATTTTTTTTACATTTGTTAAAATAATTCAGGTGCTATTTTATAGCTTCAAAATATTTACTTTGTCTTATACTTAATTCTAACTATAGATTCACTATAAATTTATGATAACTAGCATTGATCCTGATACCAACCTCTTATTAATGACTTAAATGAATCAACAGTAACTGTAATTACTACACAGCAGAACAATCAAAGGCACTTCTCAGAGCCAACAACAACATAACTCTCTTTAACTACAATTTCAGATCTTTAAGCAAACATTACAATGAACTCATAGCATTACTAAATTCCTGCATCCCAGTATGTCCATCATTACTCTCACCGAAACCTGGCTAAAGCATGATACTACAGATGTCTATCCCATTCTGGTTACACAGCCATCACAACTGTAGGCCAGATCAAAAAGGGGGTGACACAGCTATATACTACTCAGACCAATAGAATGTATCCTAATACTTGCACAAGGGATGAACATGGGGAATATAAATAGCAAATTCAAATCCAAATACATACAAAAACCTCTCACATTGATAAATATCTACAGAGTACCAAAGTCAAACATTAGCCATTTTAGTGAAAACCTAGGAAGTATGATAACTGATGCACGCATGAACAAAGATCACTTACTACTCTCAGGTGACTTCAATATAAATCTCCTACAAGACCAAGACCCACATGTTACTGAATTCACAAACACAATGAGTAACTGCATGTTGCTATCAACAGTAACAAAACCTACAAGAGTTAGAGACTAACGTTTCCCTACTAGACCACATCTGGACCAACACCATATCCCCCTTAAGATCAGGCATCACAGATAATACCACAGACCATTACCCTACCTTCCTCATAACAAACCTTGGCAAATTACCCCTAGACACTACTAAAGTCACTTTCAGACTTCACAGCAG